CTCTGGTTGGAAATGTTAGTCCCAAACACATCCCTCTCAAATTACCTATGGAAGGAGTAGGGTCGCCTGTCCAACCTCATGGGTTTTCTCCGGTTTCCCGCCGCTGCTACAGACTCCTATGCGCAAGCGAATTATTGGAATAAAATTGAACCATATGTTAGTCCCAAAATGACCTGAATTGTGTCCAGTGAACTTTATTTAGGTTTAAAATACATTTGAATAAATCATAGCATTGACGTCAAATTTTTATGTTGACGGCGCGATCCAGCAAAACCTACTTCCGATTTGGTCCAACTTCAACAAAAAAAAAGCCTGGTACCGTTAGCGAATTGTGTTTTATCATGTATGGATGTTCCGCCTGTTTGTTGAAAAAGAAATCTGGGTGTATCTTTCTACACGTCATTAAATCGACAAGAGTCGCCCCAGTAAATGAAACTGACATTAAAGTAGCTAAGTCTCTAACTCAGTATCACCCAAAGTCTTCGACATTGAAAACACAAATTATTTGTCAATTCAAATCAACATTGATGCGTTGTTATCTTACTGGGGTAAGATGGGCATCTGATATCCAATATTCAAGACAAAATCAACATTTTACTGTTTCAGCGCCATTTGTAACAAGGGACTCGAAGGACGAGGCTAGACATATTCCAGAAGTCATTTCAAACGGTGACCTCATATTCTTTTCTGGAGAGCATACGCAATAATTACTATCGGTGTAGACTGGAATAACGCTAGAGATTACCATTCGATTGAGGCTTCTGTCGTATTTCTCCAAATATAACTGATTTGAAACTAGAGTAAAAACGGAAACGATTGAATGTAAATCGTTTATATACATTCATATTACATTATTATATGCGCTGCCAAATATTAGCGATTTAGCTCCTTTAATATCTTCATGGCACATGAAGTTGTCTAACAGCCAGTAACAAGTTATCTAACGCCAATATAATCAAAAAGATACCAAAACTCAATATCTTCAAGAGTGCAAGCAACGACCCAAAATTGCCAACACTCCTTTTTCATAAAAACCGTGCAAGACTGGAACACCCTTATGAAGTATCACAGCTGCAGATTAATTAGAGGGCCTCCTTAAAAATGCCAGATTGTTTCATTAAAGTGAAAGTAGGCTAAATAAAATCTTAAAGGAACTCTTTAACTCAATATCACCCAATAGTCTTCAACATTTCAAAACGCGACATTGATGTTGTCATCTTACCGTGAAAAGATGGGCTTCTGATACTGACTGAGCCACCGTCCTCCATTCACTTGTAGAACCTTGTGGTTAATTAAAACTAAACATTTCCTGATCCTGTTGGATATATAACGAAATTGTAGGTATAAATAACTAATCGTCATCGAATCTAGAATTCAATCCAATCTGATTAAAAAAATAGATTCTATTTCGTTTCGTTTAGTTTTACTTGTCTTTACTACACTAGGATCTGAAAGAGTTGTTATATACCAGCGTTCTGCATGATGTGAGGGATTAGCTAATGACACGGTCTGTTACGGCGAGGTTTTGGTGTGAGCTGCATGGAACTGTGGGTAATCCACTAGAAACATTAACGCTGATTGGTTAATAAAATGTCTGACGTCATAGGGTCAAAAGTCGCTATAATAACCTCTAACGCAACCTTCCACTACGACCGGTCAGATCTGCATGTGGTAGAGGGCATCGAAAGTATATAAAAAAACGAAATGAAAGATAGATCTGTATTTTAATTAGATTGGAATTCAATCCGACTTGTGTGGACAGATGGATTATATCAGGTAATTGTAAAGGGGGATGGTCCAACGCATGAGCTATAGATCATAAGATGTGCGGTTGATTCAAGTTACGTTTTTGTTCTCACATTGTATGTGATGGGGAGTAGCTTCGCCTGTCCAACCTCGTGGCCTTTCTCCCATTGCAATCGACCTGTGTGCACATGGCGAATTATTGAAATAAAGTTGAGAAAACTTTTTTCTGCTGAACATTATATTGGGGGGGGGGGTATTGGACCTGACCATGGAGCGATGCTGATATGTTGTATGTGGCCGTTGGCTTTAACGGGCCGCCACGCCATCACTGAAGTCTGGAATGGGCTGGTATAATAGACTTACTGGGACGGGTGTGCTGGGTGTAGGCCGGAATTCGGAATTCTGCAATGGGGATTCCGAATTTCATCCGAAAATTTCATCGGATTCACCCGACACTGACGCCCGCAAATATACTAATTTTTAAGTCACCTGCAGCCTGTTTGTGGGGATACGCCATAAACGTCTGCCGATGGTTCGTAACTCCAAATAAAAATTCAATTTTAAGGCCTCAGCAAAATTTGATGCTGGCGGAATATGAGTGCGAGACGATTTCCTGCGGCTAACATTGCTTGACATTTTTATTAACTCGTTATTTTCAGAGATGACATTACATAATTTCACTTTCGTCACTCTCTACCAATGTGTCTTGTGGCCTTCCATCACAGGAGGAATCAACTAGCGCTCCCGGCAACAAAAATGGGACATTTTTCAATGAAAATATTCCTAATTGGTTAATCAAATGGTCAAAATTTTCTCAACTAGTCTCATTTTATAACCAGTTAAATTCTCTTGACTCTTGACGATACAATGATAATACTTTAATTAATAATATGACGATATGATAATTTCACAGGTTGGTGGTTGTAAATTACTTGCAGGTCGGGGTTTTGGCCTAAATTAATCGATTTATGAAATATATTATTTGACAGAGATTATAATCAGATATGCCACCAAATCGCATATTTGGGGTTCATTTTTCAAAATTTCCCCAGGAGAGCCGCCGGACGCCCCGTCCGGGCTCCGCGGTCAGTAAAAGGGGCCGCTCCGACACGGGAGCCCGGGCCGGTTCCCGACCCCAATCCGCCCCTGGAGGGAGAGGGGGTGGGGTAACCCCCACTCGGCACAAACTAGGTTATTTCGGGACTAACATATGGTTCACTTTTATATCAACAATTCGTTTGCGCGTAGAGGTCTTTAGCAGTGGGAGGACCCGGAGAAAATCCACACGGTCATGAGAAGGATAGGGAGAGAGAGAGAGAGAGAGAGAGAGGGGGGGTTAAGGTCCACTCGGCACAAACTAGGTCATTTCGGGACTAACATATGGTTCAATTTTATTTCAACAATTCGTTTGCGCGGGGAGAGAGAGAGAGAGAGAGATAGAGAGAGAATATACGTCCATTTCTTGGATAACATATGGTTCAATTTTATTTGAACAATTCGTTTGCGCGTAGGGGTCTTTAACTGTGGGAGGAAACCGGAGGACCGGGAGAAAATCCACGAGGTTGGGCAGGCGACCCTACTCCTTACGTACAACCGGGGACTCGAAACCCCGCCAGTTGACTCAATGTCAGACTTCATGATACAGCGCGCACGTGCTAACCATTCAGCCATCCAACCCCACCTGTTCAAAGCAGACGTGTAACTAATGACAATATGTACACATGCGCGTGATGCAAAACTGTGTAAATCGGGACCATATGTAATGCACAGGCAACGTGGGTCGAGGTCTAGGTCACATTTTTTTCCCAAAGGATGAAAAAAAAACGAAGTGGTGTGTACCCTCTGGCGTGCATGTGACATATCCATTGGAAATATGAGTTGGCCATAAATCTGCCCTGTTCATCTTCATTATAGCGCAGTACAGAAGGACGTTAAACCCCATTCCATTTCGAATTGTATTAATACACATAGTAATGACCCCACACATAGATTGAAATAACGGTCCCCTCTTCGTTTGTCACGTGCCATGTTTTATATTTAAAAAGTCTTGTAAAGAGAGGGGAAGACGTTTTAAATAGAAAACATGACACTTGATAAACGAAGAGGAGACTGGAAATGCCTTTCTCGTTTTTTTAATCTAAAGAGAGAGGGGTGGGGTGGGGGGACCTAGAGTGCCGCACTTCGACCTCTAGCTGGTCTCCTCTGGCTTGCGGTTCTGGTTTCGATGCCTGGTGTAAGCGAATTGTATTAAAATAGGTTAAAATAAAGATAAATGGGCATCTTCCGGTCGTCTCTTTATATTTAGAACGTTTTGTAAAGAGAGAGAGAGTGAGAGAGAGAGAGAGAGAGAGAGAAGTGGGGTTAAACGCCCACTCAACACAAACTAGATCTGTTTCGGGACTAGCTTATGGTTCAATTTCATTTCAATAATTCTCTAGCGCGTACGGCCCTTTAGCATTGGGAGGAAACTAGAGAACCCGGAGAAAACCCACGAGGTTAAGCAGGCGACTGTGCCCCTTGTCACGTACGAGCGAGGAATCGAAACTCTGCCACTTGACTCAATGATAGACCTTATGACTAAACACGCACGCGTTAACAATTCGTCCCCTCCCCCCTCCCGGACGTTAAAGACACCATTAATCACCAAGATACGATGAAACACCATTCACTAAGAGCATCCAACCAATCAGAATAGCGTTGAATTTGTTGATGTATCGCCCACTGACCCCCCTTTAATGACCTTAAGGTTAAAAAAATATTACCCACAAGAGATTTATATTTACAGACCCACTTTAAACGCCCACATAATTAAAGATCATAAGATAGCACACCCAACCAACCAGAGTCCAAAGCACCCCCAACCAACCAGAGTCCATAGCACGCCCGCCCAACCAACCAGAGTCCATAGCACGCCCAACCAATCACCAAATTCCAGAGCACGTGGAATAACGTTGAATTTCAGGAAACTAAAATTTTCGTGAATTAAAAGTTTCCAAGAGTCTTTTGTTAATTCAACAAAATATCCGGGGACGGCCCTTTTAAATGACCTAACGGTTAAAAAAAGATTTTATTTAGCGTTTTAAAGGGCATACACCATACGGTGTGCTATGAGGGAAATGTTGCCAGACATCAATGGAATCCTAATGTCATAGGTTCTTTTACGTGCACACCAAATTATTGTTGACGACGGACGGAGGCGACGACTGTATACACCCAAACTATGTGTAGGCGTTTTTAAAAAAAGAAAACAATGCATCAGCAGTATATTTTATTTAGTCGTAAACTTGCTTACAGAAGAACAGGTAATATTGAGATTGTTAAACAGAAAATAAGTTGGTAATATTGACATGTAATATATTAACACTTGTATAGACAGGAGAAGGTTGGTAATATTGACATATACTGCTGGTTGTCTGGTCTAATGATTTTATATTTATTATGGTTCAGACTGAAATAAACAACATGTACAGGTTCAGTTTCATACCCATTTTTATTTCTAAATCTATATAAATAGAAACAAATATATCTGTGTGTTTGTATGTTCGCCTATCAAGATTCATCGCCAAGATCTACCCCCAGTATGACCCGTGAATATTTTAGGCCATGATTCAGTTCAACTTGGAACCTGCTCTAGTTATTAAACTTACGATAGCTAATGGTGGGTACATGGGTGGGGGTGAATAGTACCTCAGAGGTGTTGTAAGCCAAGAAATCCCTATTAAATAAAATGATCGGATCTGAAGGTTGGTCACAAAGTAGACAGGCTGGACTTGAGCTTGATTGACCGTGATATTAAATTATTAAATAATGTTACTTACACAGAGCAGAACACAGTTGGAATCACTGACGTCATAACAGGTGGATAGACCATCATCACAAACAAAGGCTAGAAAATAACAAAAAAAAACCGTTGTTTACAATGAGAACAGACACCACGCTGTCTAGATCTATTTACTAAGGCTCTCTGCAGATTTAATCAAGGTCAAGAGATGTAAACAAAGTTAGGGCTCATGACTGATGCCGAGGATTGTGGGTTAAGGTTAGGGTAAGGCCGATATTATTCAACGATTGGAGTCGAAAAGATTTAGTATCCAAAGAGAATTTCAACAACACAGCCCCCCCTCAAACCCTTAGGCCTAAAGCTCACCTCAATGTGCCAAAAAAGTGCAATTTCGGTATAGCCCACCCACTTCCCAAATATCCTTTATGTAGATGTATATGTTCAAATGGGTTTGTTTCTAGTACGGTATCTTAGTTTGAACCGCGCGAAGAATTGTGTGGTGTAGTTCTTTTCGTCTCATCCGTACGACTAAACATTGACCTTTGCCAAGCCTTCCGCACTGCACCACTGACAAGGGAGATGCACGTCGGAAATATTCTTAGCAAACCCGTGATAATATCACAATATTAAGGTCACCTGCATATTTCGTTAAGGTCATGAGATGTTAACAGGGTTAGCGCACGTGATTGTTACCGAGGACTGTTGGTAAGGGTTAGGTTTAAGAATTTGTGGTAGAGAACCAACTGTGAAATATAATCTGGTTGTATGTATATATCGGTACAGGATCTAGTACGTCTGTGACCCGTTGTAATATAGACTATGGTATTATAAACATGTATATTAACATACCGTGACAGTTTCTGTAGATACAGATCAGTTGTTGTCTTCCAACACAAGTTTCACCACAATCAGGTGACTCTACAAATATACATACATAATAATATAATCACACACGCCATGCATTGTTTTATGAGGGGAATTATGCCTCGACAGCGCCGCTACGACCTACTTTTATCTCGTATTCCAATGGTCAGGGGTTCTTTTTCTTCTAAGTGTACATGGGACATCAGTTTTTCGTTTCACCGTCTTGGGCCACTGACATGTGGAAAACCATCCCTGGCTGGCGAACTAGCTGACTAAAATCAAATATCAGAAGCCCCAAGTAAATGAGACGTTGTATTAACTGTAAGCATACCCTGCCTAATGTAATCAACTTACCTGGAACTGGACGTACTCTACAACATCCATCTGGATTACCACAGGTGTTATCAGCACACAAGTCAACTAAAACAGAATAAAACAAATGATATATAGACAAACAACTACACTGAATATTTTGTGAGGGGGGGGGGGCGAATGGTTAGCATTGAGTCAACTGGCGTGATTTCGATTCCCCGGATGCACGTGCCAAAGAGTAGGGTCACCTTCCTACCTCGTGGGTTTTCTCCGGGTCCTACGGTTTCTCCCCACTGCTTAAGACCTCTACGCGCAAGCGAATTATTGAAATAGAATTGAACTACATGTTAGTCCCGAAATGACCTAGTTTGTATCGAGTGGATGTTAAACCCTATTTCTCTCTCACACACACAATATTTATTAGCAATATGTGGCGTATCAGCGAATGTAAAGTTTCCTCTAGCGTCCCTTTTATTGCCTTTGGATCTGGAGTGTTCTGGAAACACTAGTCTACAATATCATTCCCAGACTCCTTCCATTGCCTCTGGATCTTGGGTGTTCTGGAAACACTAGTCTACAATATTACGTTCGAACTCCTTTCCATTGTCTCGCATCGTCCACATTCACCTCCATTCCTGCTCAGGTTGGATTTGAGTGATCTGGAAACACTAGTCTACAATGTCTGACACTAACTCTATGTTCAGATATTTATTGGTAGGGGAACGGATTTAGCCCGAACATCAGCACATTAGTCAGTTGATCCTGTAACTGTCAAGGGTTTTTCAATAGGAACAGTAATACACAGGAATAGGGTTTACTTACTTTCACACGTGGACCCGGCAAATCCAGGGTTGCAGTTACACATCCCCTCTTCATAGACTCCATGATTTCCACACTCGTCATCTAGGCAAAGTTCCAGAATAGGTTCTAGATCACACAAACAAACACATCAACTACAAACTTAACGAACAGAGAATAATACCACGTGCAATGGACAAACTAGGTACACTTTAATTCATCAGGCAATTGACAAGCTGGGAAACATACACCAGGCAATGGACAAGCTGGGAAACGTACACCAGGTAATGGACAAGCTGGGAAACATACACCAGGCAATGACCAAAACTAGACCCAAGTTTGTAAACCAGCAACTAGAAATGAAAAGGAGTTTAGCGTCCTACTGTTACCCACCGACTTTGCTAATGAAGACAGACAAACCCATACAGTATGCTATGACGAACTAGTAAATATTTAATTGAAACAACTTTAGCTGGTAACCACGGGGTCCCCAGCAATTCTTTTAGTTAGTTTCTCTGAAATAATTTAGAGTATGTTTGCTGTGTCTCGAATCAATATCAATAAAAGTGAAAAGTGTATTTTATAATCCATACCCAGACAATCTTCTGTGTAACAGTATTGCCTTTCCTTTCTTCTACCACGACAGCGATGTCCACCATGAGCTTGGGCAGGATCATTACATTCTCTATATCTTTTCTGTATACCCCAACCACCACATGTGACAGAGCATTCACCATAGTTAGACCATGGTCCCCAATTACCATCAACTGTTGAAATGAAGTAAAAGCTGATTTAAATTATTTGTGACGAATTAGTAACAATATCTTGAAATAAAATGAAATGGGGTTTAACGTCCCACTTCGCTACACCTATTAGGATAATGAAGACGGACATATACCAAACAGTGTGCAATGGGGAAAATTTGGACTGACATGGGCGCATTGGTTAACCGGTTACTCTGGATTTCCAAGTTGTAGCCACGTCGGGTTTTTTGCAGTAAATAAATTTCAAATTTGTACCTGGACAATCCTGACTATTACAGCTTTCGGTTGATTCATGGGGACCTGCACAGTTTTGCCCACCATGAGTTGCAAGTGGGTCATTACATACTCTGTTTCGTTTCCGTGTTCCACCTCCACACGTAACAGAACAGCAACTATACTGAGACCATGATCCCCAATTACCATCAACTGTATAAATACAAGTCGCATTAAATTATTTGTGAAACACTGGTGGTAACACGGTTGTTTTCTTCGGTAATTACACTTCAATGTAAATTTGAAATTTCAGATTAGTTCCATGTAGATTCATTGGTGGCAATATGGTCTTATTATAGTAATTACACCAAATTTGAAACTTTAGATTGTCACCAGGAACATTCAAATTGATAGCAACAATTTCATTTATTTTAATAATTCCACCAAATTTGGAAATTTTATATTGTCGCCAGGTTCATTGGAGTTGGTAGCAATATTGTCGTTTAGTTTTTGTTTTGATAATTGTGTTTTGATTTTTATTTTATAGTAACTACCAATGATTGTCGCCTGGGATATCGATTCAGTAAGTACATGAAAATAGAAATTTGAAATTACAGGATCATTAGAATATGCCAGAGATATTTTAACAAACCTGGACAATGGTGAGTATTACATGACATTGTTTCTGTATTGTTACCATGACAATCCAGTCCACCATGATCTGGTTCAGGGTTATCACATGATCTGTTTCTGGACATGTTACCACCTCCACAAGTAACGGAGCATTCGGTAAAGTTCGACCACTCTCCCCAAGTTCCATTAACTGTAGCAACAATAAAAACTATTTGCCGCATAATTTGAGAATTTGGTCCAGGATCACAGAACAGCTGGATAGATGAAATTTACATTGAATTAATTTTGACAACATCGTAGATTCTGAACAATTTATTTTAATTTGCCTCTTACACTCTTCTACACGATCTGTGACAATAACAAAACTTCTTCATTAGCCCGGTCAGAGCAGAACCGTAGGACGTTAAACCCCATTTCACTTCATTTCATCTGTGACAATAACAAAATTTCCATAATTTTTATCAATATGTCTATAATCGTGTCATCATCAACCAGGAAAATGAAGACGGGCATTCGCGATGTTTTGTGTTAATGGGTGAAAGTTTGCCCGGACAGTGGCATTGGGGTCTATTCTTTGTCGAACAACAACTTTACGTGCAGCCCAATATGTAGGATCATATAACCTTTTTCATTTATGAAGACGGGGGCTATATTCATCTGCTTGTTCCACAATCTAGTTTCTGTGAATAAACACTGTTTTTAAAAATCACTGATGACAGGATTATCAGAAAAGTAGGAAGGGACAAGTCCACTTCCACCGCCAAACCCAAACCGCTTAGACATTCTGTAGTACCATTAGCTGAAGCGGGCGAATTACATTCTCTCCTTCTAAAATGAACACCTGGGCCGCCACACGTGACAGAACACTCACTATAGGCAGACCATTGTCCCCATTTACCCACATCTGAAGGGAAACAAATTTCATCTGACTTATTTTGAGTCCTGAATTCAGCACTATAGTTATACCAACTTAAAGATACATTACGTAAGAGCTAAATCCAATGTTATATAAATAAGTCTTTAGACATATAAATAATCGTAAGTTTTTATATTGTAAAAAACTTTAAGCACCCATAACTTTGTTCAAAGAGAAGTAATGTGATTTAAATTAATTGTGGGATAATTTGGCCGGTATTTTTCATTCAAATTAATTTATTCTGAACGAATTTGTCAGTGGTTTTGTAGTTTTGACAATATGTGGCATTGATTGTTTATTATCGTAACAACGGTACTGGTTATTGCAGACGTAGCCTCGCTCTTCCATTTTACTAATGTTAGTATAATGTGTACGATTGCTAATCTGACATGAAAATGCCTGTGCAACCTAAGACACAAGAGAGACCAACGGACACTTCCGAGAACAATGATAATAAATGAAATGAAATGGGGTTTAATGTCCTATTGTTCTGCTCCGAACAGGGCTTATGAAGATGGGCATACGCCAAACAGTATGCTATGAGGCTAATTTTGGCCGGACAGTTGCACTACGGCCTATACTCTTATATCGAATTCCAACTGTCAAGGGATCTTTACGCGCACACCATTCTGTACACGGGCCCTCGGTCTTTCGTACCATTCGAACGACTAGACAGTTGTCCCTGTCAGGCCTTCCGTCCAACACTACTGACAAGGGGGGACATCGCTGGAAAATCTGGATGAACTTCCTCGGCCAATGCAGGGATCCCCCCCCCCTACACACACGCACACCGATAATAATCATCCTAATAATAATAATAATAATAATAATAATACCTGTTGATTGGCTGTCAACAACAGTAACAATCACTATCAATAAAACGAACACCGTCAAACGCATGTTGAAAGATCTAACAGTTTATATGATAAACTGAAAGTTGTGTGAAGAACAGCGACGTGGTTCCCTCTTTTAAACATTTTCACATATCACCAGATGTTATTATTTACTGTTCGTCTGCTTCCGCCATTAAAATAGAAGGAAGTAAAACATGGATATATACATAATCATGGCGTATAGTTTTCCGTATTGATTTTCGGATTTGGAAGGTACAAACACAAATTATTATCGGTATATTATAAAACATTTCTGCGCAACCCTGGGTAGATACACTACGGTTCATGCGCTTTAAAGAAACCCATACAGATCTAAGAGTAGGCAGAGACGACGCTGCCTGGGCACAATTAACCTCGTAGCACACTGCACGGGATAAACCCATCTTTATTAGCCCAGTCGATGGAGAACAGTCAGCCGTTAAACCTCATTAAACGTCAAGGCTTAAATGATAATGATGACATATAGTGTCATTACCCCCATAACGTCGATCCGTCCAGCGGCCCATCCGTTCACCGTTCGAGGAAGCATTCGATAAATCAGAGTTGTGGGTTTTCTCCGGGTCCTCCGGTTTCCTCTCACCGCTCATTACCCCTCTCAAGCCAATTATTGAAATAGGACTGACTCCAGGTGTTAGTCGGGGAATAATCAAATTTGTGTCGAGTGAAAGTTAAACTCCAACGTTAAACTCGTACGCTTTTCTTACACGCAGCCTATAGGCTTACACAGCCGTCACCGCCATCATTGGGTTTGCTCAATTGTGTTTAAAACACGGTTTCATCTTCATCTTGTCACTAGGATAGGGATTTGGAATCGCATAGGGGCTGTCTTCATCCGGCACTGTGCAGGTTATTTTTCATTTAGATTTCAAATATGCTGGGACGGTCTTCCAGTTCCAACAAGTAAACCCAGGGGCGTACATATCGATTTTGTTTTGGGCGGTGTTTATCAAAAATCAAACTGACAGATATGTGTGACGCCGCCACGAGCCGAGCGTAGCAGGTGCGAGCTGTCTATTTTTGCATCTAGTTGCGGCAATAAAATGAATGCATAAAAGTTATAGATAACTTATCTTTTATCTATTGATTTATTCGCATGGTCGCCATCTTGCATATGATAATGAAACTTTATAAACATGGTGAATTAACTTACCGGGAAACAAAATGGAACAATAAAATTGATCAAAGTTTTAGATATGTTTAAATTCATTGATTTATTCGCGTGGTCGCCATCTTGCATATGATAATAAAATTTTATAAACATGGTGAATTAACTTACCGGGAAACAAAATAGAACAATAAAATTGATCAAAGATATGTATATGTTGAAATTCATTGATTTATTCTCATCGTTGTCATCTTGCATATGATAATCAAATTTTATACATATGTTTGATTACGTTACCGGGAAATAGAATGGAGCCATAAAATTTCACGACAAAAAGTAAATAGAGAAAGTTCAGCCCTTATATCGTCCCCAATTCAAAATTAAAATACGAACTTGGAATGGTTGTTTCTTTGACGATGGCGTATCGGTCCCGTGTCCATGTTGTACTATAGTACTTTCGATCTTGATAAGCCCTTTTCTAAAATAAGCAGCTCTTGTTCCATTCATTCCCACAAGTATCTTGAGATATCAATACAAAGCTATGTACCCGGAGTTGCAGTCACAGTTTCATAACTCTAGAACCGGAAGTTGGTAGTGCAAAGCCCCCCTATGCCCCGCACCCCCCCCCCCCGGTCCTCCGACTCGAGCTGTGTTAAGTAAGCTGGGGTTGATTTGTTGATTTGGCATTGGCTAAGCGTCATGTTTATTTTTATAGCGTTAAAAACACGTGATTTGTTTTTCTATTGAGAGGCGTCCCCATCCCTTGAGCTTGATATCGAAGCTTTCTTCCATTATCAAGGCATTCGTTTAAAGTATCCACACATTGATGAAAATACATGGACTATCACATCATGTGTTTTATATGTCCATTCAATGATAAACAGTATAGTCCGACAGGAAATCCTCCTATCAATGGAAAACAATTTGTGAGGAGGTATGTACATGGTACCCTAAGACATAAAAATCCTTCGAATTCCGCCGCAATCCAACTTGTGCAATTATATTGTCTACTATTTAGATTTGGTATCCATCCTCAATATGACCGATGCTTGTAAAACCGCCTTATTTAAGTTATTTTTAACTGTACGAACACTAGATGCATTAAGAATTGTAAGAAACCATAAACACACTCAACACATAACTTTGGATAATATTATTAGCGTAACTATTTAGATCCACCACATTCATCTGATTTGGTAGCATGAACCATCATTATATGGTATTCTTGATGCTATGGTTGAATTAATGGTGGTGTTGATTAGCAGTTTGAGTTACTGGTTATATGTTGAAAGGTCTGTCTGAGATTCTATTCTGGAGGACATTGATGGTACGGTTGGTGAAAGCCGAGAAGATGGCTTTCTTGGTCTAACCAGTGTGATTTTATTTGAAATTGAGATACTAATTTTTGTGGTCCAGTTTTATATAAACTGATATCTGGGGAGGAATTGTTGTTCATTCGGACAATGACATCTAGAAAGGGACGACTGTTTCCTCTTGATATTGTTCGGCTAGTTGCTGGGATGGTTCCTCTACCTGCTGTAATTGTTTGGCTAGTTGCTGAGATTGTTCGGTTATTTGCTGTGATTGTTCTACTAGTTGCGGCGATGATTCGGTTAGTTGCTGTGATTGTTCGACTAGTTACCGATATTGTTCGGCTAGTTGCTGGGATTGTTCGGCTGGTTTCTGGATTGTTCGGATAGTTGGTGGGATTGTTGGACTAGTTGCTGGGATTGTTGGGCTAGTTGCAGGGATTGTTGGACTAGTGCTTTGTTTGTTCGGCTAGTGACTGGGATTGTTCGGCTGGTGACTAGAATTGTTGGGGAAGTTACTGGGATTGTTCGGTTAGTTGCTGGGATTGTTGGACTAGCTGCTGGGTTTGTTCGGCTAGTGACTGGGATTGTTCGGCTAGTTGCTGGGATTGTTCGACTAGTTTCTGGATTGTTCGGATAGTTGGTGGGATTGTTCGACTAGTTGCTGGGATTGTTGGGCTAGTTGCATGGATTGTTGGACTAGCTGTGTTTGTTCGGCTAGTGACTGGGATTGTTCGGCTGGTGACTAGAATTGTTGGGGTAGTTACTGGGATTGTTCGGTTAGTTGCTGGGATTGTTGGGCTAGCTGCTGGGTTTGTTCGGCTAGTGACTGGGATTGTTCGGCTAGTGATTGTAATTGTTGAGGTAGTTACTGGGATTGTTCGGTTAGATGCTGGGATTGTTGGACTAGTTGCTGGGATTGCTGGACTAGTTGCTGGGATTGTTCGGCTAGTTGCTGTGATTGCTCTACTAGTTGCGGCGATGATTCGGTGAGTTGCTTGGATTGTTCGGCTAGTTTCTAGAATGGTTTGGTTAGCTGCTGGAATTGTTCGATTATTTGCCGGTATTCTTCAGTTTATTGTCTTGGATGGCTGACGCCTAGGACCTAAAGATCTAAGGTGCAGTATTTTTGACACTGTCATAAGTCTTTGTGTACAGTGAATAAAGCACGCCTTTATCTTGATCTAGCCACGAGGGTCAGTGATTGGATTAATCCCGGTCCTGTTTTCATCTCAATCTGGCCCTGAAGATGTTTAACGTATTGATTTAGTCGCATGGCTGCCATCTTGCATATGAAAATAAAATTTTATACATATGGTGAATTAACTTACCGGGAAACAGAATGGAAAAATAAAATTGATCAAAGTTATGGTTATGTTTAAATGTATTGATTTATTCGCATGGCTGCCATATTGCATATGATAATCAAATTTTATACATATGGTGGGTTGACTCATCAGGAAACAACAGAAAAATAAAATGTATCAAAGTTATGAAAATGTTAAGATTTTTTATTCATTCGCATGACTATCATTTTCAATCTAATTAAAATATAGATCTATATTTCGTTTCGTTTTTTATACTTTCGATGGAATACACTACATGTAGATCTAACAAGTTATAGTGGGAGTTCACGTTCTATGACGTCAGGTACCAAGCAAGCGACATTTGACCCGATTACGTCAGTCATTCGATTAACCAATTAGCGACCGCCATGTACTTTTTATCTACTTTTGCTTTGTTTTGATTTCTATTACCGCTAATGCCTACCCACAGTTCCGCGCAAAAAAGGTCAAACGCTCAATTCGACAGACCATTTGATTGGCTGACCCCTCATTTCAAGCAGAACACGAGTTAAATAACAACGCTTCCAGGTCCAAGTGTAGTAAAGACAAGTAAAATCGAAATTTTGAACTATAAAAACGAAACGAAATTGGATCTTAGTTTTAATCAGATTGTGTCATTTTGTACATAAATCATAAATTTTATAAACATGGTTGATTAACATACTATAGGAAACAGAATGGAAAATTAAAGTTTGTAGCTTTTTTGCAGTCGTTTTCTTCGCATATATACAATTACCAAAGATGTAGTTTAGAAATAATTAAATGAGGTCATAGTTAGGTACATCGTCTAGTCGTTCGGATGGGACGAACAACCTAGAGGCCTCGTGAAAACGTTGGCATGCACGTAAAAGAACCCTTGGTAGACGGACACTCCGCGGGCAGTGTGGAGTTGAACAGTTTTTCGTTATTCACCAATAACGAGGGATACGCTACTTCGTCATTCGACTTGTAATTCGGAATTCAGGTATGATGCTATTCATCAATAGAATAATGGATGCCACGTTTCCCCCAGTAACACTGAACTCAGCAAAATGACTTCTAGCCGAAGAAGAGTACAAACTATTATTCAAGCAACGAATAACGAGCTGTTTGTTATTCGTTTTTCACCTCGTTATTCGGGAATTCCCATAAGAAGGCGATCAGGTATCTTTTATGAGGATATTTCAGGATCAAATTGAAAACGATAACTAGACAACAATTGAATAATGGGTTGTAAATTATCTGCTAGCCCCATAAAACTGTTTAAATGACGTATATTCCGTAACTCCCTTGCGGGGCGGAGGGCCTGACAAGGACAGCTGTCTAGTCGTTCGGATGGGACGAAAAACCGAGGTCCCGTGTAACATCGGCGTGTACGTAAAAGATTCCTTGACAGTTGGAATTCAATATAATAGTAGACCGTAGTGCCGCTGGCATGCCGGTCTTTATTAGCCCAGTTCGGAGCAGAACAGTAGGACGTTAAACACCATTTTATTTCATTTTATTATGTTCCGTAAATAAACCAGATCGTTATTCAAGCGGCGAATAACGAATAACAAATAATTGGCGAATAACGAGGGACACGCTACCTCGTTATTCGTTACTCTTTATCCAACTTGAAGCTAGCTATCACTAGAATGATGGGTGCCAAGTATCCCCCAGTAGCATAAAACACATGAAAACGACTTCTAGACGAAATCCCCTACAGCACAAAACGGGTTAAATGAGGTTAGTAACAAAGATTGTTATTCAGGCACTGAATAGCGAATAGCAATCTTTTTTGCGAACAACGGGGCCAAGCTGCCTCGTTATTTGTTTTTCACCTCTTTTTTCGGGATTCCCATATGAAGGTGTTCATGTATCTTTAAGATTTAATTAAACACGGTAACTAGACAGCAATAGAATAATGGATTGCAAAGTATCCCCTAGCAGTATAAAACTGGTTAAATGACGTATAATCATTGGCGATTAACGAGGGATATTTCTCTCTCTATATATATAACTTGATTTGTGAAACAAATGTGAAAAACATATCTATCGTATACTTCAAGAACCAGCCATTGCACCTAGGTTGTTGACAAGGAAGTGGTCGAATGGCCTAGGGTGCCGACAAGACATAATTCGAGAGAGAGAGAGAGAGAGAGAGAGAGAGAAAGAGAGGGAGAGATATGGGGGTTAACGTCCACTCGACACAAACTAGGTCATTTCGGGACTAACATATGGTTTAATTTTATTTCAATAATTCGCTTGCGCGTAGGGCTCTTTAGCAGTGGAAAGAAACTGGATGTCCCGGAGAAAACCCACGAGAGATGGGGGTTAACGTCCACTCGACACAAACTAGGTCATTTCGGGACTAACATATGGTTTAATTTTATTTCAATAATTCGTTTGCGCGTAGGGCTCTTTAGCAGTGGAAAGAAACTGGATGTCCCGGAGAAAACCCACGAGAGATGGGGGTTAACGTCCACTCGACACAAACTAGGTCATTTCGGGACTAACATATGGTTTAATTTTATTTCAATAATTCGCTTGCGTGTAGGGCTCTTTAGTAGTGGAAAGAAACTGGATGTCCCGGAGAAAACCCACGAGGTTGGACAGTCGACCCTACTCCTTGTCACGTACAACCGGGGATTGGAAACCACGCCAGCTGACTGAATGACAGGCCTTATGATACAGCACGCACGTGCTAACCATTCGGCCATCCAACCCCCCGACATAATTCGACAAACAAGTAAATTACAAAGCATGGCCGAAGACTTCGTGTGTCATTGAGTCAAGTTTGCTTGGTTTCGATTCCCAATTTGTATGTAACAAGTAGTAGAGTAGCCTGTCCAACCTCATGAGTCTTCTTCGGGATCTCCGGTTTCCTCCCACAGAGCGTAAGGTTTCCTGTTCAACCTCGTGGGTTTTCTCTGGGATCTCAGGTTTCTTCCTACAGCTAAAACTCGAAATATGAGTCGACTTTGGTGCCACTGCTAGATCAAAATGTCACTAATAGCATAATGCATGGCGAAAACCCATCTTCATTAGCCCTGTTAATCAGGTCAACAGGATTATAACCCAGCATGCTTATATACCAGACGGGGAGCGTGTTAGTTGGGACGGAAGCATTTTTTTTTAGAAGAATCGAATCGTGGACCTGGGAACGTTTTAGGTATAGTCCGTTTATAATTTGAAAAATAAAACGTTGACAATATCTAAAAAATAGATTTTGACACTTAGCCGCAAAGCATTAGAATCGGATAAGACAGCTTTCCTTTTATTTGAAAATACACAGTTTATCAATTGAAGGAATTCCAACCCCGACTTGCAGTCGTCGAAATTATGATTTTTATACGCCCACATTTCAGCGATGGCGTATCATGCCGCCACTCAGCCAGTCCGTCGGTCCATCTGTCAACAATTGACCTGCGAAAGCGGTGGTCGTGAGGGCACGAACCCTACTGATATTCAGAGTTTGCAATTCAGAGAAAATGAAATGGGGTTTAACGTCCTACTGTTCTGCTCCGAACTGGGCTAATGAAGACCGGCAGAGGCCAAACAGTGTGCTATGAGGGCAATTTTGCCTGGACAGCGGCACTACGGCCTACTCTTATATCGAATTCCAACTGTCAAGGGATCTTTTACGTGCACGCCAATGTGTACACGGGACCTCCGAATGACTAGACAGCTGTCCTTGTCAGGACCTTCGCCCTGCAATTCGGAGATATGTTCCCTTGTCCAAAAACCCTATAAACGAGATAAAAGCTATATCGGTGTGAAGTATGAGGTCATTAGAGGACCTCCTGTTTCAGTGTTTTCCATGACTGGTACTAATAATCATTGACTACACTCAGCCACGCCCTCACTGATCATCTTCATGCACTCCTTTCCAAGGTGACTGTAAGTAATTTGGGGGAGAGTGGTGCTGGTACTGACTGATGAACAACCAAAGGTCCTGAACAAAAAACGACTTTTGTTTACTGGAGGGGGCTGGGGATACTCTAAATCCCCAAGCGAGCTCTCAGCATGAGCAGGATAGACTAATCCGTTTCATCATTCTGGTGTCTAGAGAGTTGAATATAGACTTGGCGTATGAATAAATATCTTAATAATAATTTTTATAACAGTTGAAGCAATAGGCAGATTTAACTCTTGATGCGATCCTCCTGGAATTACTATAGAAGCAGAGGGCAATACCAATGCACCAGCAATATTTTTTATTTTGTTTTGAACTGAACTATTTCTGGATTCACATTTGCTGTAGGGAACCAATTTTCACAATATTGTAAAGGGATTAACAGCCGCATGTCTGACCTCATGGGTTTCTCCCGGTCCGCAGGTCACCCCTCTCTGCCAAAACCCATATGTTAGTCTCGAAATTACCTAGTTTGTGTCTTAAACCCAATTTCTTTCTATAAAATAAGACAGCGTAGTGTACCAGCAGTATTTGTTTATTTATATTTGAACTTGTTGACAGAAGAATATTTGTAACATAGATAATGTAATTTAATAATAGTTATATTTAAGGTAGGAGATAGATAATGGAATATACTGCTGGGTCTCTGCTATTTACAGTTCTGCTGGTTCAGACTGAAATCAACAACATGAAAAGGTTTAAACCGTTATAGATTGTTATAGTTCGAAATTATTAATATTTTTATGAACTCAAGTGCATTAAATGGGCGGCTTGCATTGCATGCTTACAGGGGATAACTAATGGTAGGTGTCAGATGACAGCAAGACACGGAGAAAATTAACTGGCGATCTAATGGTAAGTGTCGAATGATAACACGACACAGACATTGTAAGCCCAGAAAACCATGTCGAAAGTTGACAGGCTTGGAATAAAATAAAACCAAGTACGAACAATCTAAACCATTAGACAAAATTCGAAGTCCTAAAAAAACGGTATAAGCAAAATGGTGTAATCAGCAAATGGACTGTTCACCGGGTACAAAATACACGATAAACTTTGGTAACAGGTGTCCGGAAGAGTAAGCTTACCCTGCCTGGCACCACACCCGCCATAGCTGGATCCAAACCATAAGACTTTAAAGTCTTTGATTGACTGTGATCTTAAAGGCAGTATTAATTTTACAGACATTGTAGCCAAGAAAAAATCCTGTCGAATAGAAAGATTGAATTCGAAGGTCGATCATAAAGTTAACAGGATTGACATTATTTTCTATTGGTCGTGATTTTTAAAATGTAATAAGATTTTACTTACACAGCTGAGAACACAGTTGATGTCACAAGGTTCATAACACGTGGATAGTTTATCGTTACAAACATAAGCTGTAATATATAATGATAACACATGCATTACAGAGATATGATAACACATGCATTACAGAGATATGATAACACATGCATTACATGATAACACATGCATTACAGGATAACACATGCATTACAGGAATATGATAACACATGCATTACATGATAACACATGCATTACAGGATAACACATGCATTACAGGAATATGATAACACATGCATTACAGGATAACACATGCATTACAGGATAACACATGCATTACAGAAATATGATAACACATGCATTACAGGATAACACATGCATTACAGGATAACACATGCATTACAGGAATATGATAACACATGCATTACAGGAATATGATAACACATGCATTACAGGAGTATGATAACACATGCATTACAGAAATATGTTTGTTGTTTAATCGGGATATTCAAGTTTCCATTACCCAGGGGGTGGGAAGATGTTTTAGTGGAAGTTCTCGTATGCCTGTGATCAACTTTGATATAGAATCGGGGGTTTGGATGGCCGAATGGTTAGCATGTGCTCGCTCTATCATAAGTTTTGTCATTCAGTCAAGTGGCGTGGTTTCGAATCCCCGGTTTACGTGACAAGGAGTAGGGTCCCCTGTCCAACCTCGTGGGTTTTCTCAGGGTCCTTCGGTTTCCTCCCACTGCTAAAGACTCCTACGAGCAAGCGAATTATTGAAAAAAAATTGAAGCATGTGTTAGTCCCGAAATGACCTAGTTGTTGTCGAGTGGACGTTAAACCCTCTCTTGATATAGAATATGGGTTAATAAAGATGTTGTGGTGAAAGGTCTAGTACGTCTGTGACCCGTTGTAATATAGACTATGGTATTATAAACATGTATATATTAACATACCGTGACAGTTTCTGTAGATACAGATCAGTTGTTGTCTTCCAACACAAGTTTCACCACAATCAGGTGACTCTACAAATATACATACATAATAAAATAATCATACACGCCATGCATTATTTTATGAGGGGAATTATGCCTCGACAGCGTCGCTACGACCTACATACGTGATGATATTATCGGTGGCTTAGTCAGTAAGACGTTGACTCGCGAATCTGGAAGTCGTGTGGTCGATCTCAATGTTGGCCGAGAAAGTTAACTCTTGTCGTTCGGGCGGTGGGACATAGACCGCCACATAAACGATCTCTTGGCAGTTGAAATTCGATGTAAGAGTAGGCCGTGTCGTCACTGTCCGGGAAAAATTTCTGACTGATATGAGAAGCTCCCAAATAAAAGAGACGTTGTATTAACTGTAAGCATACCCTGCCTAATGTAATCAACTTACCTGGAACTGGACGTACTCTACAACATCCATCTGGATTACCACAGGTGTTATCACCACACAAGTCAACTAAAATAGAAAAAACAAATGACCTTTAGAAAAACAACTACACTGAATATTGTAATGAGTATCAGTGGATGTTCTAGCAATACTGCGCATGATATGCTCTGTGCACAGAACCTATCAATTCTATCATATCTCCGCGGGTTCATGTAAAGTTTTTTTCTAGCCCCTGTTCGTACTCCCTTCCATTTTAAGTAACATCTTGACCCCCTTCTATTCCCTCCATACCCAGCCCCCCCCCCCCCATTCCTGAGGGGTTGGGTGGCCGAATGGTTACCGTGTGAGCGCTGTATCATAATAAGGTATGTCATTGAGTCAACTGGCGTGTTTTCGATACCCCGGTTGTACGTGACAAGGATTAGGGTCGCCTGTCCAACCTCGTGGGTTTTCTCCGGTTCCTCCGGTTTCCTCCCACTGCTAAGAACCCTACGCGCAAGCGAATTATTGAAATAGATAGTCCCATATGATAGTTTGTGTCGAGTGGACGTTAAACTCGCTCTCTCTATCTCTCTCCCTCCATTCCTGGGGTGTTATGGTAACACTAGTCTACAATATCTCGCCATAATTCCATCTTTCTGACACTAACACGTAATTAATTATTTTCGCTATGGTCATGTATTTATCGGTAGTGACAATGATTTGGTCTGGACAGCAGCACATTCTCCAGTTCATCCTACAATCAACTGTCAATAGTTTTAGTTTATAAAGAGTATAAGATTTACTTACTTTCACACATGGATCCGGCAAATCCAGGGTTGCAGTTACATATCCCATCTACATAGACTCCATGATTTCCACACTCGTCATCTAGGCAAAGTTCCAGAACAGGTTCTAGAACACAAAAAAATATCAACGACAAACTTAACGAACAGAGAATAATACAACAGGCTATGAACAAACAAGGAAAATGACATCGGCAATAGACAAGCTGGGAAAATAGATCTGGCAAGGTAAAATTGTGTAAAACAGCAACGGGAAATAAAAAGGGGTTTTACGTCCTACTGTTACGCATCAACTCTGAAAATGGAGACGGGCATACGGAATACAGTATGCTATGAAGAACTTGTAAATATTTAATTAAAACAACTTTAGCTGGTAACCACGGGGTCCCCAGGAATTGTTGAAGTCAGATTCTCTGAAATTATTTAGAGTATGTTTGCTGTGTCTAGAATCAATATCTTAATAAAAGTGAAAAGTGTATTTTATAATCCTTACCCAGACAATCTTCTGTGTAACAGTACTGCTTTTCCTTTCTTCTACCACGACAGTCATGTCCACCATGAGCTGGGGCAGGATCATTACATTCTCTATATCTTTTCTGTATACCCCAACCACATGTGACAGAGCATTCACTATAGTTAGACCATGGTCCCCAATTACCATCAACTGTTGAAATAAAAAACAAACACCCATTAAAATCAAGTTGACAACATCGCAGATTCTGAACATATTTCATTTTAATCTGCAGTCTGGGGTCTTCGCTAGCCGGAGGACCCCCAACGAATCTGAAAAGTGATTTATTCGTGAAGGTCGAATCAAAATATTTATTTAAAATATCTGTTTGAATAAATCGTTCAATCAATATATTCTTTACTATCCAAAAACGAAATTGTACCGTAAACCAAGATTGTACAAATTGTGGTTTTAGTCACCTCTTTGAAGACGATTCCAAATATTTTATTTCAATTTTCTCTTACATTCTTCTGCACGACCAGTGACAACTTTTATTCAGAGTTGCTGACCCCAAAACTTTCAAGAAGGCCATAACAACCCCCAACAGATTCTGGATTTGATGAATTTGTATATAATTAAATATTAAGTTGCGGATCGTTAGTATGTGTGATTTAGTTGTATTTTACGTCCGCTTCCACCAAGGTGATATCTCAGAGATTAGTTGTCATCCTAAAAGACGATCTCCCTTGCCAGGCTCTCTGCTCTGCACCACTAACAAAGGGGAGGGGCGGGTTGACGTAGGGAGCAAATCAAGGGCTGAGATCTTAAAATTGTAAACGGACATTATTTCAAACCTGGACAATGGTCAGTATTACAGTCCATTATCTCTGTCTCGTTGCCAAGGCAATCAGCTCCACCATTAGCTGGTTTAGGGTGGTCACATGATCTGCTTTTGAACATCGTACCACCGCCACAAGTAACGGAACAGTCGCCATAGTGAGACCAGCCTCCCCACATACCATCAACTGTACATACAATAACAAAAACTTAAATCTGTATGTGGCAGAATAAAGAGAGACAGACACTACTTAGCAATGGTACTGGATAATCTGGACTGTATTGTCAAAATTTCAAAGACTCATAACTTCGCTCAGAATACAGTACTATGACTGCAATTGCCAATATATTCCTTTCTCAAAACTGTATAGTGGTGTTATTGTAACAGGCTATGAACAGTTACTTTGCCATGGAAACGACGGTTACTTCACCATGAGAAGTTAACTGTATAAACAACAATGCAAGCGGGTGTTGCTAACCCCTCCACCCAATCAAGTCATCCAGGACTTTAGACACACCGTACACGTAACAGGGCAAAACAGTCACTTCGCCATGGAAACGACGGTTACTTCACTATGGGAACGGCAGTTACCTTGCCTCGTCATGGAAAGTTAACTGTGAATTTGACACTTCTGCTGTGTGACTCCCATTTATTTACGCACTTTATATTTGAGTCGATATTTTATATCTCTTTCATATATACCATACCTGGACAAGGGACTTGATTACAGTACCGTTTTTCTCGCTTTCTACCATTGCAGCGGCGTCCACGATTCTTCGGGGCGGGGTTATTGCAAAGTCTGTGTCGCTTTTGTATACCACCATCGCATGTTACAGAACATTCATCATAGTTAGACCACGGCCCCCAATTACCATCAACTGTAGAGATAAAAACATGCTTTCAGTCTGCTTGTAGCATAATTTGAGATCAAAGAGGGTACACGTACACATGGAAACGACGCCGGCAACCCAAGAGCAACTTTCTCGTCCAACCATGGGAGCCATTCTTAGACCCTCTGGTTAAGGTAAAATGCAATTAAATGAAATAGGGTTTAACGTTTAACGACTGTTTTGCTCCTACTGGACTAATGAAGACGGATCTACGCTATCAGCGTGCTGTGAGGAACATTTTGCCCGGAAAGAGGCGCTATGGCCTACTCGTTTTACGAATTCCAACAGTGTACACGTGACCTCGGTTTGGTCCAGCGCCTCCCTCCCTGAGTCAACACGGCTCCGTTAATAATGTAGATAATTGGCTGACTGATTCAATCCTACTGAGAAAGAAAATGAAATGGGGTTTAACGTCCTACTGTTCTTCTCCGATCTGGGTACACGCCATACAGTGTGCTATGAGGGAAATTTACCCGGACTGCGGCACTACGGCCTACTCTTATACCGAATTCCAACTGTCAAGGGATCTTTTACGTGCACGTCAATGTGTACACGGGACCTCGGTTTTTTGTAACCATTCTAACGACTAGACAGCTGGCCTTGTCAGACCCTCCATCCTGCATCACTGACAAGGGAGAACTAAACCGGAAAAAATGGATGAACTTTCTCGGCCAATGCAGGGATCGAACACCCGACCTCCAGGCTAGCGAGTCAACGTCCTACGCACTTAGGCACCGTGACCCCTACACAACCCAGTTAAAGCATCATCTTTTGTCTTTAATTTGAAGGACCTGATCATTTGTAAGAATCTTATCGAAACATTCATTTATTCCGTCGGACACGCTTGGCTAAATCAAGGTGGGGTGGGGGGTACAGTGACTAAGTGAGTTAGACGCTGTCTCGCCAGCCTGGAGGTCGCGGGTTCTATTCCGGTGTTGGCCGAGAAAGTTCTTTGGGATTTTCCGGTGTTTTTTTTCCCTTGTCATCATGTCGGTGGTGCAGGGCGGCGGGCCTGATACGGAAAGGTACCTAGTAGAACACATTACACTATATGGCGTATGCCGTCATCATTAACCCAGTCGGAGTAGAACATTTCATTTCATTTATATTATACTAAAAGACTAAGTCAGCAACGCTTATATTATATTACAGGATCATGTCAACAGCGCTTCTATTATATTAAAGGAGAAGGTTTCAGCGGGAGATGCCTCCAGTCAGAATATAGAAATAGATGATCACAACCGTGATGAAAATAATAATAATAATAATAATAATAATCTCACTTGGCCAATTGTTTCCTCGCCCTCTTCCTCTTCGTCTTCCCCGTACTCTAATACCTCGTCCCCTTCTGCTTTCTTCCCACACTCCTCGTCCTCTCCTCCGATTCCGTCTCCGTCTACGACCCTGGGCGTCATCCACCACAATACAAATAACCAAAATCAGTAAAACGACCCACGTCAAACGCATGTTGAAAGTTTTAACAGTTTCTCTGGTAAACTGAAAGCTGTGTAAAGAACAGCGACGTGGTTCCCTCTTTTAAACATTTTCACATATCACCAGATGTTATTATTTACTTGTTGTCTGCTTCCGCCATTAAAATAGAAGGAAGTAAAACAGGGAAATAAATCTGATCATGGCGTAACGTTTTTTGATTGGTTATAGTTTTCGAATTATTCAAAAATAAATTATTAACGATGTATTATAAAACAAAAATCCCTTCTACTTACCCCTGGTAATATCACTAAGATGCAGGACTTTCTGTGCCTCGGACAACTTGGTCAACAGAATGGTTAGCACGTGCGTGCTGTATCACGCGGTCTGTCAGGCTCCCTTCCATTCCTGTGGGGTTGGGTGGCCGAATGGTTAGCGTGTGAGCGTTGTAGCATAATAAGGTATGTCACTGAGTCAACTGGCGTGGTTTCGATTCCCCGGAATCCAAGGAGTACGGTCGCCAGTCCAGCCTAGTGGGTTTTCTGCGGGTACTCCGGTTTCCCCCACTGCTAAAGACCCCTACGTGCAAGCGAATTATTGAAATAAAAATTGAACCATGTGTTAGTCCCGAAATGAACTAGTTGGTGTCGAGTGGGCGTTAAATCCCACCCCCTCTCTCTCTCTCTCTCTCTCTCTCTCTCTCTCTCTCATTTTAAATTGTTCAAATTGATCGGGCAAAATGTCCCGTCATAATACATATCGAGGGTTTAGAACATAATTGTGATAAGTCACAATGCTTGATATATTGACTTATCACAATTATATTCTAAACCCTCGATATTAGGGTAGGCATATGGTCAACCCTTTACGCCCAGGCCCGAGTTCACAAAGCATTCTCAGACTTTAGTTAAGAATTTACTAAAAATTGTTCGCCTTAATTTAATTACAATATCGCCCTTGTAACATTATTTTGTTATTTAATGTATCAAATACATCCATAAGGAACCATGTGCACAGTTATTTGTTCAGGATCAAAGATACTTCTCATAAAAAGCAATTGAAAGTTACGTAAATTCTCATTGGTTGAAATAAATTTATGTTACAAACGTGGAATACTAAGCAGAGCTGGAAATGGCCTTTAATTTGCAAAAATACGCGTGCGTAGGACAAGGATATAATTTTCATTACATAAAAGGAGTGGGTTAGATCCATACTAAACTTACACTGTCTGTCTACTGTTAATTCGCTTGAGAATAGTCACTAAGCCAGTTGACAGACATTTTAATTCCTACATCTACGATTTTAGTCGAAAACACTAAATATATTAAGAAAATTTTGAGAAATATATATATTCGCCTTTCATTTAGTCTTTTTGTGTCTAACAGGCGTGAACCGGAGTAGGGCCGGATTACAAAACAGTATATGCATAGTTGGATATGGCGGCCATTTAGGGCAGAGGTTCTTGAAGTCGAGTAGATATCTCTCTGTGTGAAGGAGGGGCTGGAATCTACTATGGCAAATAAGTGCGGGATGTTACCTGCAACCTGAAATTAAATTACTTTCTACGTCTAGTTGCGGAAATAAAATGAATATATTAAAGTTATAGATATGTTTCAATTTATTGATTTATTCGCATGGTTGCCATCTTTCATATGATAGTCAAATTTTATACATATGGTGGAGTACGTTACCAGGAAACAGAATGGGGCAATAAAATTGATCAAAGTTATGTATATGTTTGAATTCATTGATTTATTCGAATGGCTGCTATCTTGCATATGATAATCAAATTTTATAAACATGGTGAATTAACTTCCCGGGAAACAGAATGGAAAAATAAAATTGATCAAAGTTTTATATATGTTTAAATTCATTGATGTATTCGCATGGCTGTCATCTTGCATATGACAATTAAATGTTATACATATGGTGGATTACGTTACCAGGAAACAGAATAGAACAATAAAATTTCACGGCGGCATCAGTTGGCCCTGGGTATTACAGAAGTGGTTTTGCTGTGTTATTATCTTGAAACGTAAGAGCGAAATCCAATATTGGTGTTCATTTGTAATTTATTGAGTGAAAATCATTTAATTATTCAAATTCAAACATTAATAATAATATAACATATGTACAGTGCATATATACACATAGGTTGGTGTGGGGGATCACGTGGCTAAGTGGGTAAGACGCTAGCTCGCTAGCCTGGAGGTCGGGTGTTCGATCCCTGCATTGGCCGAGAAAGTTCATCCAGATTTTCCGGCGTGGTTTCCCCTTGTCAGTGATGCAGGACGGAGGGCCTGACAAGGAAAGCTGTCTAGTCGTTCGGATGGGACGAAAAACCGAGGTCCCGTGTACACATTGGCGTGCACGTAAAAGATCCCTTGGCAGTTGGAATTCGATATAAGAGTAGGTCGTAGTGCCGCTGTCCGGGCAAAATTTCCCTCCGAAACAAATGCCCATTGCTTAGTTGTGATGAGGTACGTACCTGGTACTGCAAAATAAAAATTGACACAAATACTGGAGGGATATATTGTTTGTTCGGACAATAACATCTAGTGTCTTTTTCTGTTTCAATGGTGAACTTACTTTCATTTTGGTGGTCTAGTAAGGAGAAGGTATTTTGACTAATTGGACAACGTCGTTGGCGACGAGCTTAAATTGATGTTATTACAAAAGTCCTAAACTTTGCAGTCACGCATGGATGGGTCAGTGGATTTAATTAGTGGTGATAACAATTTTGAAAGGTATTGGGCTGTCTTGTAGTAGTCTGGGAGCACACATGTAACCAGGCAGAAATGGCGTCATTCCTTACTCGTTTATAGGTGGATTGGTCCAATCTGTTCCGCAGAGTAGTACGAAAGTCTTCTAATAACTCTACAAAAGACGACTGCTTTCAACATATGATGTCACATCACGCGGCGTTAATCATTGGGTCAATGGAACCTGCGTTGTTTACATAAGATGTTATGCAAAGACTTGGATACCGAGAATCTATTGAACATATAATAGCTTTGAATAATAATACATTATCTGTGCACACATCGAAGTGGTCTGTTCTTCGCACCATAGCTTAATAACTGTAGTTAACCAATGTTGACAACAATTTATAACTTGAAAATGTTTAAACCGCACGTTGGTATTTGTCTCTATAATTTCGCCCACATTCGTAAAGAGGACAATACGATAATAATAATAAGGAAAAAAGATATTTTGATAAAGCGTGCTGGAACAAGAGAAAAGCCATGACGTGGAAAAATCTAAAATACAAAATACATCATGTCTTTATTCTTCCTGTGGGGAATGATGGGGCGGGGTTTTATATTCTCTCTCTCTCTCTCTCTCTCTCTCTCTCCTCTGTGTTTGGTAAGGGTTGGGGTGGGGTGGGGGTAGGATTAGTGTGGCGTATGAATTATTGTCTATTGTGCGTTTTTTAGTGTGTAATATTGCTGATGTAGTAATGTGTGTATTTTATTGTGTAATGATGTTTATACTGTAGTAATGTATATATAGAGAATCTCCTACCAGTCTTTTTTGATATCAAAAAATATCAACACAAGTTGATAAAGTAACAAAAAACGAGGCTCTGCCGAGTTTTTTTTACTTTATCAACGAGTGTTGATATTTTTTGATATCAAAAAAGACGAGTAGGAGATTTTATTTATCACCCAATCCCTTCTTACATGCGCAAATAGATAAATATAATTCTTTGCTGTAGATTTCACTTTTACTGAACATTACGGCGTAGTGATACATCATATTTTGACAGCAATTCAACCATTGCAAAGTCCTTTATATTGACCCAGTGTTCCCATCAAGGTCAATTGAATAATAATAGTTCATTTTTAATATAAAAAAGTTACTTTTAATAATAAATGAACTGTTCTTTGAAAATAAAAAAAGTAGTTTCTTTGCAAATGACCAATCAAATTCATGTAAAGCGATATCTCCTAAGTACATTATGAAATATATCACACAAGCGATATCTACTGTAGAATGTATTATTGGGTGATATATAACTGTATAGGAAATATTGTTTACCCACATATACTTCAAACACCATATACCTTATATTTTTCTAATGTTTTTAAAAAAATGTTCTCGAACTTAACTTTCACAAGGAAAAAAGCTAATATTGGGGGCTCATCAAGTCGCACCCATGCCACCCTATCAGTGATTGTAGCGGCCTAGCGAATATTCACTGCTGATTGGTCTTGAAGAGTGATGACATTGATATTACAGATTTGGTATCTTAGATAGTCCATGTAACCTCATGATGCTCTAGGCGATATAATCATCATGGTTCTTAGGGACTAAAACTAAATAAAAAAAACACACAATTATGAACTTAATTTATTGCAGTGTTTCGAATTTCATCATTCAAATAGTTTGCTTCTTTTGAGACATTTTTTCCTAAATTTTGCGGCACACTTAGGAAGATCTCCCGGCACACCGGTTGAGAATCATTGGGTTAGATAGTCAGTTTGTATGTACTGCATGACAGGGGCACTTCACCACTGAAGATGCCTAGGAGTGGCGAGTTATGTTTCCTTTAATGTACCTCAGGTTGTTGGGAGGAACAATTACCATACTACTGAAAATATCTGATAATGAGTATTTTGCAACAAGGTTCGTATGATCTGACTTTATTGGGCTAATAAGGAACGTCTGACAGAAGTATTCAACCACTGAACGAGGCTGACGGTGGTTAGTAAATGAGCTTGTGTACTTTAGCTCTTTGGGTGGGCAAATTAGTAACGCCTGGTGGAGGTTCAACACCGATGCAAAACAATTTACGCGCTGTGTAAATGGGATAATTAGACTAAGCTTTTGGGGTGGGGCAATTAGGGACGTCTTGACAATCAGAATGTCTCCACCTTGGGAATTTACTCAAAACTGACGATACTGACTTTGTCGATGGTCTAATAGAGGAAAAACATTTGTGATGCATGCATATATTCTCAGTTTCCCGAAACGGGTCGAGACTTTCCTGCGTGGTTTCCCCTTATCAGTGGTGACAGGACGGTACGTTTGAATTGGTCGAAAGAATTTCCACTTATCAGTGGTGCAGGACGGTACGTTTGAATTGG